CATGTTGAGAGTGCAAAAGCATAGCACATTGAACAAAGAAAATTACCAAGATCTGAAATGGCTCTCAGGTACTTCAGAAAAGCCCAGGTTCAGAATGAAATACCAGGTCATGGACCCTCTGATCAGAAGTAGATCCAATACAAGCATTGTTTCACATACACACATAGTGTGAGCTTAAATCATGTGTTGTAAAACACATTTAATTTGAGTTACAATTAAAAACTGGCTCAGAAGTTTGGCAAGACCATTAAGCTTTGCTTGCAATCAATCTTGCTGGTGTCGTTCCCTGCATACACAAGGGACAAAGAAGCCAGGAAACTATGGCACTCCTCCTCACTCTCGAAGCCCAACTCTGACTGAATGTAGGAAATTGGGAGCACCGGACGAAAACTAAAGAATTGAAAAAAAAGCAGCAAGGGAAAAGGAGCAAAAGAAAACACAAGTTAGAATCATAATGAAAATATGCATTACCCACCTGAAATAAAAGGTTGTAAGTACACAATACACAAGCAGAAAAACTTACCTACCTTTGAAAATCCACTAACTGCAGGGTGCAAAACACTTTAAAGCACAGCAGCAAATATGTTAAATAATTATACAAATTTACTGCAATGGCACAGAACAGTAATCTTCCTGCAAGATTTTAATACACAGAGGAAAGTCAACACTGTTTAATAAAATGACATCCATTAAAGTGCAACTATGTGCAAAATAAAAAATGAAATTTGATACAGGTTACCATTAGCATTAACACAGCATTCTATTTTATCTATGGCGCCTTGCGATGTATTTTTATTACGTTTTGATCACACCAGTACATCTTATGTTTCTACTTACAACAACCGGCCAGGCTCTTGAGCAAAAGTGGAGGTTACAGATTTGGGATAAAATTATAGTTGCGGGGGTGCTTCCAATAGTCACCTTTAATTCCGATTGTTTAAAGATGAACTATATAAAATACATAATTTAACCCCTTAACGCCTAAGGGTACAACAAATCTTAAAGCCTAAGTAAAATTTTAGAACTTTGAAGTGTCACCACAACTATTTTGTACATCCAGGTGAATTATACCTTGTTTTTTGCAGAACAAATTGGGCTTTCATTTGGTGGTAAATATTCCCAGGATATCCCAATTTTTGTCTTGTTAAAAAAAAAAAACCTGTCCCAAAATAGTAAAAAAAACAAAAATAAATCTTTTTTTTAAATTTAGCTGTGTGTTTCTTGTTACTACCATAACCTACCACCAAAGAACCCAAAATAGATTCTCTAGCTTATATCAATGCAGATAATCATATGTATGTCCATGTGCATGAACCCTAAAAGGAAAAAAAAAAAAAAAGTGTAAGTTGGAGCTGGCATCTGAGATGTCTGTCCTTGAATTTAGGTACATTGAAAACTACATGTCAAAAGGAGGAGCATGCCCAACTTGTCATGTGTGGCACAGGATTGTACTTAGCTCTGTGCTCCGGTGATCCACTGTCGTTCTGTGCTACGTAAGGATCCTAACCATAATGTAGGGATCCACCCAGTTGCATAATTATCAGCTAGCTCAGCCTCTCAACACGCTGCTGAGTCAGAGGCAGTCACACCTAACCTGCAAAGCCTGGCCTTCCAGGGAGCGCTGCAGGGACAAAGCAGAAAGCGGCGACTAAGCTAAGACCTGACCAATCAGTCATATGAGTTCTCTGTCTCAGAGCAGGTGGGGGAGACTTGCAGCATCAGATCATAGCTAGGGCCACATAGCTTGAAATAAAAGTGATGGAAAAAACAAAACCATACTTTACTAAGACTACGCAGTCCACAGGGTAAAAACACTGCTGTGTGATTTTGCAGCAACAAGTGGAAAATTGTGTATATACGGGCAGGAAAGGCAGACAAAAAATGATGTGGGCTATTAGAAAAACAAAAACTGCTAAGTTAATGTTAATAACAGACTGCATCATGCCATTTTTTAATATGCCCAGAGTTGGTCAATGGTGAAAGACCAGTGTTACAGTTGTTTCCATAGCAAATATAAACCATCACCAGAAAACATGACAGTCTAAGACACATGCAATGCATGGACATGTTCCATAATATAGCACAAACACATCAGGGTGCCATGATAGGGACAACAATGTTGACTTTTTCTGAACAGGTTACTTAAACACAGATCAATACATGCTTGTGTGTTCGTGAATGCTGAGTACCAGCACAAACGTGTATTGATCTGTGGAAAGTGAGATCAATATTTCTGATCATTTATTAGCCTTTCAAGATTTGATTGAATCTCGGAGAATATATGTTGGACGGAGTACTTTTTCACTTTTCATATGCCTGTTTTCGCTTTTCTAATGGCATATTGCACTTGCTTATTATAAAGTTGTGGTTTGTTAGCCCTTTTTGTATTAAGAGGGTTCACAAGTGTATATTGTATTGCTATAAAATGTAGAGATGCGCACCAAGTGTATGTTTAGAGAAGTTATACTAGTCTTAAAAAAACATTGCGAGATATATAGAAGTGGTCAATTCCTTGCTCTTCTAAAAGGCTAGTTGCCTGGCTGCTCTGTTGACTGCTTGCTTCAATACTCACAGATAGGATTTTGGGTTTTCTGATCTGCATATTTGTCCCTAGTTATTGATTTAGAGAGCATTAAAGAAAGAAACCACATTGCCAGCCAGGTAACTAGAAATTCAGGAAAGCAAAGGAGTACTTTAACAAAATGAGCCACCGAAAAACAGGTTTACCATTCGATAAAACTAAAATGGATGAGAGACTGCAGGAATACTACACAAAAGTAGTCCACTGTAACACTATACAAACTAGTTAACCCTTCCAGGTAAAGGTAATATTCAAAAATAATCTGACTCGCATATTAGGCATATCAGATCTTTTTATGCACATGCAGATTTATCCAACCTGCTGAGAATCATGCAATTTACAGTCTTGGTTGCCTAGATTCATAAGCTGAATTATTTTTACAATATACTTATGCATCATAATATAAGAGATACGAACAGAATTTGTAAAGTAATCTGCTCCTCTTTTGTTACACTGGGAATATTCCCCTTTCACCTAACATAGAACCCTATATGCTAAAAATCTCACAACACAAGCCTGAAGAAATACAGTGAATATACAAGTAGGAGAGAGTTGTATCAACTGTACAACAGGAAAAAGCCCCGGATCTACATATAGCACAAGAAACTAGAGACCTCTATAAAGTGCACTGAATAACATCTATGGAGAGCTACATATAGCTACTCTAGATTTGATAATAAAGGATTACTAACAAAGGGGGGAGACCCAATCCTTTTGTACAAAAGTTCCCTGGAAAACAAAGCTCATTTTTGTGTGACCCAACATACTAACAAATTTATAAGTAAATAATTCTAAAACAGTGCAACAAGGATATATTTACATTATTTGGCACAGCAATAATAAATGTGTGTCAAGTCAACCTACTTCATACTTACCTTCAACACTACAAAGGGTTAATGCAAAAGCCTACATGATGTTTGCAAAGAACTGAACAATCCAATATAGTTTTGCAATTAGCCTCAAGTATCAAGCGTGCTACAACACAGCTAAAAGAGACCTAACAATTACTTGGGATGTTCGTGATGGCATTCCCAAAAGTGGACACATTAAAACCGCTGCTATGGAAGGGACCCCCATATATGTCAGTCCTCCTTCAACTAGAGTTGCAATTACAGATTTACCCAGCTGTCCCTCCTGCTGATATTAAGGGACTAGTACTCATTTCCCTTCCTAAGAGAACACAGTATCATTTCCCTCACAAACGACTCTATTTATTTGGCCACACTATCATTCACACCTATGAAAACTACTGGGGCTGATGTCAAATTGAGAATTTGCTTATAATAATTAACTGTAGTGTAGAAAGACTTCCTGTTTATCTTTTAGATAAATTAGCCCAGTTTTGCATCTATCTCAATGACAAAACTAGGTCTGAGGAAATGTATTCTTCATGTACATGATAGTATTTTATAGTAAACCATCTACACTTACACCTAGTACAAAATACTAGTTTTATGTTTCCTTTTTGTTCAACCCAACAGGCTGAACAAAAAAAAAAAGTGACAGCTCAGGAGGAGGAGCTGCTGTACTAACTATCTGATGTTCGAACCGCAATCTCACCTGTTGTGCTACTGTGTTCTGACAGGGAGAACGGCTCCCATTGGCTGAGTGTGCTGATCGGGAGCAGATTGCTAAACCTTTTTGGGTCATGCCCCTTCAACAAAAGCTGGCCACAAGGGCAACTTCTGACAGACTGGCTGGCTGCAATCCGTGAGTCAAATGTTGACCGGTTTGTACTGAACCAGCTGTTGCGGCTCGACATTCAGCCCATGTGTACTAGGCTTAAAACAAGTTAAAGATTATCACACATTTTTTTTAAACTCCCTAGAGGCCCAAGTGCAAATAGCACATGGTTTTGTTTAAATCCAGCCCTAGAGTATCTAAGCAGCATGGTTGGACAGGTTCAAATCCTCCCCATCTGACTATGCTGATAGAAAGGAGACAGACTTCTGATTGACTGCTCTGGTATCTGGCAGCAGGAGCCACTCCAGAGACCAGTGCTGCCAATCACAAAAAAGATCACACAAACTGCGGTGCTGTGTGAAATTTCAGTTCTATGAATGAGCGATCACTGCTGTCGGGCTGATATAAGCACAGCACTGGCTCGACGGCAGTGGAAGGAATCTGCTAATTCCTGCGGCTGTTTTTTGCCACCTATGAGTGACTAGCTGCTGCAGCCAGGCCTGTACACTAATGACGGGTTAGCGGTGGCTGCAGCTATCCATGGTTGTTTGCAGAGCCAGTAATTACCTGCAGGGATCACTGCTGGACACACACAATGTGCAGCCAGCAGTGATCACCATAGATAAATCGCTGGCTATGCAAACAGCCACAGATAGCTGCAGCTGACCTATCAAAGTGTATGGGCTAGATGACCACAGTTAGCAAAAAAGATACCAACAGATTCCTGGATAACTCTTTAAACATAAAAGAGGGAAAGAAATCTGAAGTGAGGGTTGAGCAATATGCAGACCAAAACATACGTTTTAATTATGGTCTTAATGGCTGCCTTCCTCTCCCTTTCTGCAAATTTGTCGATCAGATACCCAGACATGCGTGGTGCTTCTCTATAAAGCTTGAAAAAACGGTGATAGTTTGACAATGCCCAAGCACTCCTAAGAGCCAATGCATGGGCAACACAAGGGTCCTCTTTGATCTCTTTGGTCAAGTGCGCCATCTCTGTAGTTAGATCTGTAGACAGATGGAAAATGGAGGTAAGACTACAAGCCGCATAAAGGGGTGTACTAGAACAGGTTTTATGCCTAGTCATTTCCTTACCACTAGAGTTTTTGGTGAAAATATAATACAATATACGATAGGCTGTAAATTCTCCAATGTTCCCAACAAGATTCTCAGCATACAAAGACTTTAGCTGTGCTTGACACTGGTTAAATTCCTCATGATCTCCCTAAAAAATATAAAATATAAATCACACAACAGATTAAACAATTGTACATTTTTAAAACACCCTACTTGTAAACAACATGATCTGAATGAATACTCATTTGTTTTTTTAAGTAATTTTGATGTACCAGTAGATTCCATATCTTGGGGTACAGTACAGGACACAAGACTGGTTTGATAGACCATTGGTTGCATGCCACTACAGTCAAGTGACTGGACACTGATAAAAGCTTTGCTAGGTGCACCCCTATAACCCCTGCCCACTCCATGAAGCTTCAGGTTTATCAGCAAGCATCACAAAGCACAGACATGTGAGGGGAGGGATGTGTGTCCTGTACTGTCCCTCAAGGTATATGTCATTTACAGGTATGTTAAATTCTTCTAATCTTTATCATACAGGACACAAATCAATTTGGCACATCCCTAAGCAATCAACGGGAGCAGAACAATACACCTAAAAGCAACAGGCCCACAGGAAAGAGGAGGTCAATAGAACCAAACGAAATAGCCCACGACTGGAGCAAGCAACAGTGGAAACTCAGCCACCTACAAAGCAATGGTTTGGGACACATATGAAAATCAAGGAGGTGGCTCTGCTAAAAGGAGTATAGCTGATAGATTCTGCATAGGCCCAAGAACCTGACCTCAATGGGAAAATGGGCTCAGGCAGGGAAGGAGACACTTGTTCCCAAAGGACATCGACCTCATAAAAAAGGGGCAAAATAACCACACAATCTGGTGGAAGCAGATGGAGGAAACCCAAGGGGGACTTTCCTGTAAGGATCTAAGAGAAAAAGATTATAACGAAGACATGACATGTAGCCATAAAAGTCGCAATTATACCCCAAGGAGAGCAAACAAGGAAATGCTGTGTCATTCGGCATGATACGGCAGGGAAAGGATAGGAGTTTACAAAGGACAAAAAGAACCAGGAAAGCAAAGAACTAGCTTTTAGGCTACCATGTCCACAAGTGGAGAAAGCAAAGTAAATGTACTGTTGCTGGTGGGAACAGGAGAGATCAGCTTTTATAAGGAACACACAAAAATAGTAACTCCTTAAATCAGGATGGCAGTGCTTGGCAATGTGGTCCTGCAGAAATTCCAGCAGGTGACCAGGAAAAGTCATCTTGCAAGTTGTACAGGAAGTGCAAGGTCTCAGGATATCGGGGAGGGGAAGAACAAGGTCCACCAGGACCTACAAAAAGTACCAATTGACATGCCTTAAGCAGTATCAGGCAAAAGGATGTACAGAATGAAAAACGAGTAGCAAAAATTAGGCTTCTATTTATTTACGGTTGTTTCCCCCCCCCCAATTGGTTAAACTAAAAAGAACTTATGGCTTTCTTTCAACTAACTTAACGGAGGTTCCCTATCAGGCCTCTAGGTGGAACTCTTTCCAGAGAACAAAAGGAAAGAGCAGAGTGGGAGAAAATGACCTGCATGAATGAAGTAGTAAGGGGGGGAATCAAATGTAAGGGATGGAATGCACCAACGTAGGGTATATTCAGTAGGAAGAGATATGAGAACTTGCATGGCAAGGCTGCTGAGGGCTAAGGGCTCACATACACTTCCGCTGCTAAAAACTGAAGTTTAGGAGCAGTTGTGCATTTTTTTCAGCAGCCTCTGAACTCTCCTTTATGTTTTCCTATGTGTCCATGTATATATAGTAGTTTACAGGCAGTTGAGGTTAGAGACATATTTTTGAAAGCATAAAATATCCGAGTTCAGGAGTAAAGTTTACCGGCATTTAATACGCCAAATGCTATAAAATGTTTAGATGCATTTTTGGGCTGGTCCATATCCTGATGCTGTCCAGTGCCTTTTTTCCTTCATCAAAAATGCAATATACAGCGTTTTCCCATGTATTAATGGACCTAGTACACCAGTGCAGTCAGTTCCAGGTTTCGTGTGCAGGAAAAAATGGTAGAACATGCTGCATTATTTCTGCACAGAACTGTACTGGAACACATCAACACACAGCAAAAGGAGTGTTGTGTGCACTCCAGAATGCATCCAGAGGCATTACAGCACTATGTAGCTCCTCCCACAGCGACAAGCATGTTTCACTAGCCACTTTTGCTACAGTTGCAACACCCATCAGAAAGTAGTGCCCTCTCTGCTTCTGCTCTTTTTCTCACAAAATGTCTGAAATAGTTATTTACTAATTTTCAGTGCATTCTGAGCATTTGGGAAGGTCTCCTGAGGTTATCTTTAAAAACACTTCTAAAAGCAAACGCGGCTGAACGCTCAAACGTAGTAGGTAACTCAGCTAAAGTGATGCTTTTAACCTACGTTTTCTAGCAGTTTCCAGCAGTCAGAAATTTTTTAAAACTACCCGTGTACACCAACCCTAAAAAGAATGTGCCAAAACTCAGACTGCAGATGAAAGGGAGAAGAAAGGTAACCACCTAAGGGGCCCTGGAAACAGGAGGTATAACAACCTTTTCACAAAACATCACCCACTAGACAATACATTTAGGGAAAAGCACTAATAGTGCAAGTTCTCCTACTCTGATGAACTGCTTGTGGGCATGACACTGCATAATGTCTTGTAGGATAGGGATGTAGTGCGTGCTCCAGAGCCATCAAGACAAGTAAGCCAGGAACCAGTATGTAGAAGAGTACAGGGAAACCACGTCTTATCTTGTCCACATCATTGAAGCTGTTCAGGGCCCCCCGTCTTCTCTTGTCACAGTAGCCAGATACCAAAGGGGTCCTCATGATATGGGTGTCATAGGAATGGAGCATAGCCCTGGCCCTGTATAGTACCCTGCAGCTAACTACACTTGCTGCACCTTGTGCCAAAATGGGCACCAAGTGCAGGATCCAGTGCCCAAAAGCAAGAATTACAAGCCAGCCTTGCTCTTGCTGCAGGATCCAGGTATGGTTCCCAAAGGTGTATTCGATGGTCACCAAATCGGGAAACTACTAGTGAGCCATGAAGGCAGTCAAATCTTGATAGAAGTATCAGTCGTAGGACGCAAATAAATCTGGTGAAAAAGTAGTAGGAAATTCTTCTCAAAAGAGAAGGCACCCATCATTAGGAATATTTGCAAAAAAACAAGAAAGCCTCATGGAGTAGGGAGCGAGTATGGGGATACTACAGCAGGGCTCCGGTTGAGATTTTGCAAGTGTCCAATCACCTGGCGCTAGCAGCATATGGCCCATCTTATATGAATAGATTTGTGTGTCTTGTATTGTACGAGAAAGAGAAATTGTTTAAGTCCGCAAACTCAAAGGATATTGGTAAATCTAAAAAGGTATCTAGACTGCACATGAAGGCACGCAAAATGACAATATTTTTGCCATTAATTCTGGAGGACTACAGCTAGTTTCAAAGCAACCCCTCCATAAAATAAATTTAAATGGAGGAGCTGAATGCCACATTTCACCATAAATGTAGCTGGGGTGGGGGAATGGCTACCACATATGGGGTTAAAGAATTTATTTTACGTTCAGTGAGACCTAGCTTTTGACTGATGATTAATCAGCCCCAGTTGGTTAAGCTGCCCTTTTCCAAGAGTAGGACATTAAGTGCAACAAAACTGAAATAGCAGCTAGTCAAGCTTACACCCCACAACTGTCCAAAAACATATGTTTTCTGCCCAAGAGATCAGTAAAGGACCTGCTTTCTTCAGCTCCTAGAGTTAGTTTCCAAGACCGTTTTGATCTTAAGCAGCTGGCTGGTAGTCAGGTTGGATTTTGAACCTTCCTGTCCTAGCCTTCATGCCTTCTGCACTGGGACACAACAGGTGGTATTTGGTTTGCCTGTCAGTGTCTTCCCTCACAGGCTGCAGGGCTCTGGATACCCAGATCCCAGAGACTCTGAGTGGCTGTTATTGTGGTCCAGTCTCTCTCTGACTATCCTGGCTTCACCTTTGCCCTATATCTACTTATTGTCCTACTCTTCATGTTCCCTACTGGCCAATCTGGTTGCAATTGTTGAGCAACATGTCAGATAAAGTGATATTAAAGCTTTGGGTTTTTTTTTTTTTTTTTTTAAAATAACAATCATGTCATACTTACCTGCTCTGTGCAATGGTTTTGCACAGAGCAACCTCAAGCCTCTTCTCGGGTCTCCTGCCAGCACTCCTGGCTTCTCCTCCTTGACCAGTGCTCCCAATAGCACGTTGCTTGCTATGGGGGCACTGGTGCATGCTCGCTCCTGAGACCCGCTCTATGTGTCAATAAGACAGCCACGGCTCGGCCCCATCCTCCACTCTCCCCTCAGTGGGCTGCAATAAACAGAGGTGAGAGCCAATGGCTCTCGCTACTGAATATCAACCAACGAGAAGGGAGAAGCACGAAACAACCGAGGCTCCCATGCACATTGCTGGATTGAAAGAAGGCTCAGATGAATTATGGGGGGGAAGCAGCACACAGGTTTTTTACCTTCGTGGGTATGATCCCCAGAAATTGCTCCTCACAGGATCCAACACAAACTGGCAGTAATAGTGCCACCCCCACTCTAGCATGTACGTACCCGGGAACAGTCCCTCAATCATCAGACCTTAGTGAATGATCTGGATGAAGCCCTCCTACCTGTGCATAGGTGAAGGATGGGACAGGAAACCAAGTGCTTACAACAAAATTCTCAGACATATATAGTCACATCCATAAACTAAAAACACTAGCTGAAAATTGAGTCCTAGCTGAGCAGAGAGAGGGTGTTTATGCCTGGGCAGGTAGGTCTTATCTTTTCTGGCCAGGGTCCATCTACCTGAAGGTGGCAGCATAACCCAGGTAGTCAAGACTACGAAGTCCTTTGTATCATATAATGCATAGATTTTTTTTGTACCCCCCCTTAATATTTTTTTCTTCAACTTCATTAGGACGACAACTACCATTCCTTTTAGGTAGTTTAGGTCGGTTGCTAAACTATATTAGGCCTATGTGGAGGTTGTTTATATATGTATCATACATTTACCATTTGCTACTGATGTTCTTTCACAGTTAGGGGGTCAGGCCACCCAATGGATCTGTTGCCGAAACTGCCTGTTCAGATTTTAGCACATTGCACCCTACTTCTGGAAATGAGCATCCTAACTTACTGCATAGATCTTTATTCAAAAACTTAATTCACATTAAGGCATTTCAAATCATGGGCGGAATCGAAAATACGGACCATTTAAGCGATTATCGTGACAGTTTTCCGCATGACAAACATTGCAATTGAGCAAACAAAAATCGCAGGATGTGCAATGACCAAAAACTGTTCAATGATTCTGCCCGCAACTTGCATACTGAATATATATATCATTTTAGGGGGGGTTGAGCAATACAAACCTTTTCCAGTGCTATCCGTGCATGGGTCTCATATACTTCCACAGTGAACTCTGTACGAATGCCTTGAACCTGGAAAAAAACCAACAAACCCCTATTACAAACTGAACCAACACATGCAATGCTCAGATGCAATTTTAGTAAAATATACCGTCAAATCTTGGCGAACTGATTTTAGCTGTTCACAAGCGAAGGCATAATCCTGCTTTTCTTTAAAGTGCCCCTTCACCATTGTTAAAGATTTTTTCAAAACCTGGGAAACAAAACAGACAAACCGTAAAAAAAAAAAAAAAAAAAAAAAAAAAAAAAAAAAAAGTGTATTTTAAGGTTTGGAATAGAATCATACCTGAGACTACAATCACACCGGATGCTCTACATTAATATCAGCGCTCAAGAACTTGCTGGCGCCGTCACTTCTATGTACATTTATATGCTGGTAAAGGGGCTTGCTGGCACTGACACAAAGAAGCTTTGCCAGTAGCAAGAATGCTCAGTGCCTCCGCTCCTGCCTGGCACTGTCAGTGTTGCTGGCTGGCTCAATGCTTTTGCACGCACACAGAAGCAAAGCGTGCAGCTGAACTGATGCTCTGTACAAACAGGAAGTGGCTGGAGACGACCCGTCTTAATTCTATATCCTGGTGCATTCTAGGACAAAGGAACATCCACTGTCTCTACCCAGTTTAAAAAAAGCTTCACCAACGAACAGTAAATGCTGTGCTGTTAAAATGCACTACCATTGAAATGAATGAAGGCAGCATTGCCTCCTGAAAGCGACATGGTGCTTAATGTTTAATACAACGCTAGTACACTTGTGTGTTGCCTATTGTAATATTGGTGGCATCTTTGGTGCACTTTATGAAACTGCACCAAGATCACAGGACCTCATAGAAGTCTATAGGAAAGAGCAGCTAACCTGCATGAAAACTGCAGGTTAGCTGCACAGCAGCAAAGATGCAGTGGGGCAGTCTGAAGCCCCCCTTCAGGCAACTAAAAACAATGACATTTACAAATAACAAAAGCTAAAAACATCTGTAAATTTGGATAAACTAACTCAGTTTGTACGTTTCTTCCTTAGAAAGCCTCTGAATTCATGGTACATAATATTTAACATCTAGCTCTAATTCTGAAGCTCTAGCACTCTTTTCTCTGCAACATAAGCCTCTCTGTTGGTCAGAAACAGTTGTTATTTTGAGCACAAAGGATTGAGTAGCGATAGGGAGATACCTGCAGGAGGAAAAAAGGAAAAAAAATAATCCTGGAGATATCACCCATCAGGTTTGATACCTGTCAGGAATGAGGTTTGCGCTAAGGGTGTAAAAAGCAAATTTTTGTTGCTTAGGAATAAACGGACTGTTTGATGGCACAATCAGAAGTGTAACTCCAAAGACAAGTAAAAAAGTAGCATTTTTTTTTTTTACAAAAAAATATATATATCAAAAAACTTACAGTCACTGGCCTCACAGTTGATGGGTCTGGTGCGCACGTTAATCGCAGGTAAGGTTTAGTAATATCTTGGGAAGTTCCCACTATTTTTATCTCATTCCAGTCCATGTTGTCAGAATCATTAGGATCCAGGTTATTGATCTGCAGCACAAGAGGCTCGAGACGCAGTTTCTTTGGGCTGTGGCCATGTTGAAAACGTGCTGCTCGCTTTTCCCTCTTGAAATCCTTCTCTGGGTCCTCAAACTCCATCTGAACATTCTTCCTGCGGTTTCGTTTGTTGAAATTTTGCTCATTTCTAAAAATTAATATTTAAGGACGGATTAAATTTGGCCCCACTAATAAGCCAATGTCATATCCAATAATCTGGTAGTACATTTATATTGGAAAATAAAAATTAATAAATAACATTTAACTGTCTATTTCCAGTTTCCCCAGTCTCTAAAGTACATCACAGGGCTTCATTACTCTATCTGCTACGACAGGGTTATGCTGCTAGGAAGGGGAGGGGCAGGAGGGTTGCAGTGTGGCAACAAGCCAACAGGCCCCTAAACCTTCAGCATTCAAAACTTTCCAAAGGATGTGTTCTTGGCAGCTCATACACCCACTTGGTAAAATTTTGTAAAAGTATGAGCCAAATATTGGGTAGCAGCATTGAAAACCTGAGCTAGCAAAGTGTGATGAGGAATAGCCCAAGAAGTACAAAACACTCTTGGTAAAATGAGCCATCATAACAAAATTATGGAACTTATCCCTTCAGACTGCAAGCCTCATAAATAAGCTAAACAGATCCAAAGAAAAAAAAAATGGATTTGGAAGCTGTGTGACCCTTCTTTGGGCCTTCAGGAAGTACAAAGAATCCTGCTGATCAATTGCAGATAACACCCTATAGCACAAACCACATCCAAGGTACAAAGAGCCTTGTCCCCTCCGGCATCTGAGGTTTAAGGACAGGAGAACACAAAGCAATGTGCTGGTTGAGATGGAATGACAGCTGAGGTCATAGAACGATCTTATGGTAGAGCACCAGGAACAGCTCCTGAGAGGAAAGGGCAGCCAAACACAAAACTCTCCGAGCCAACGTAATAGCAACCAGAAAAATAACCTTCAGAGTCAGAATGAGTAAAAGAAAATCCCAGATGATTTCAAATAGATTTCTGCACACAAAGTACCAAGTTGATTTCCCAGAGTCAACCACGTTTTTAACCAGTGGAACAATATGCAAGAAGATGCCCTGCATAACGGCATTCACAAAGGAACGTGAAGCAATCCATCACTGAAAAAGGAACAAAGACTAAATCTGGTCCTTTAACATACTCCAGGCCAGTCCCAGATCAACTCCAGACTGGAAGAAAAGCCAAGAAATCTCCCTGCTGGGGAGAGGCCAACTACAGGCTGCAACAACTTCTAAAAATTGTCTGCACTCATAGAAGCTTATGAAGTGTCTCAAAATCATAGATGCGATGAACACAGTTGTTCAGTTCCAAAACTGTGAAGACGTGGTTTCCACTTATACGTCTTCACAGTTTTGGAACTGGAAACCACAAAGCCTTTAAGGCAGGTGATGGAGGGCTTGCAAATCGTTTTTGTGGATTCAAAAAAACATTGGAAAGCATAGAGTGTGAATGTGGAAGGCTCCATCTAGATGGTATCTGCATGAACATTTTCCAGAGTAAGGCCTAAAATATCCCAAACTCTGGACTGGGGCTAAGACCAAAGTTTGTAAATTCAGAACCCAGCCAAACCTCTCCAGAGTGTGCACTAACCAGAGATACATTGGTCTCCTACACCGAAGCGGATTGCTCCCTGAGAGGCAAGTTGTTCAGCTATCCTATATAAGGGAAACCCTGGGTAAGCAAGGGCCCCAGAACTGAGCCAGAAACTTGGTAAACATTTTGGGAGCTGTGGACAGGCTGAACGGCCAAAGCCATAAACTGAAATTGCGGTCCTCCTTCACAAATCGTAGAAAACTTGTGTGGTGGAAAATCAGTACATGCAGATATTCATCTTTCACATCCACTGATCCTAAGACAAAAAACTCTGCAGAGGAGGGAGGGGAGAGAGAGAAGACAGAACAAAGACCACACCAATTTCACCCAGAATATGATCAAGAGCTTGCAAAAGCAAATCTTACTTTTCTTTCTGCAAATAAAAAAATCAAAAAGGAAGACTCAATTTCCAGCTTGCTACTCTACAGTGCATTCAAAGTATTCAGACCTCCTTCACTTTTTTTTCAGTTTTATATTGCAGCCTGATACAGTTGTTTAAATTCTTTTTCTCATTAATCTGCACTCAGTACCTCATAACAATAAAATGAAAACAGATTTTTTGGAAACGTTTGCAAATGTATGTGAAAAAGGAAAAACTGAAATATCAGTCTGGCTCACAGTTAGGCTCAAAAGTTTGCATACCCTGGCAGAAACGGTGAAATTTTGGCATGGATATAGAAAATAGGACTCTTCATGCCAAAAAAAACTCTCTTTTATTTAAGGCAAGTGATCACATGAAGCCATTTATTATTACAAAGTTGTTTGGTTCCTTTTTAAACCTAATGACAGAAATCACGCGAAAGTTTACATATCCTGAAATATTTGGCCTTGACGCGCACACACACACGCTAAAACGGCAATTTAAATGTTAATGTCCCACATCTGTGGCTTTTTAAATTGCAATTAGTGTCTGCGTATGAATAGTTAATGAGTTTTGTTAGCTCTCATGTGGATGCACTGAGCCGACTAGATACTGAACCATGGGGAGGAGAAAAGAACTGTCAAAAGACGTAGCAAGGTGATGGAACGTTCTAAAGATGGAAAATGATATAAAAATATTTCCAAAGCCTTGAATATGCTAGTCGGTACTGTTCCATCACTTATTAGGAAGTGGAAAATTTGGGGATCTCCTGTTACCAAGCCAAGGTCAGGAAGAAAGAGAAAGGTTGCAGCCACAAACTGCCAGATTGTTCGGGATACAAAGAAAAATCCACAGGTAACCTCAGGAGAAATACAGGCTGCTCTGGAAAAAGATGGCGTGATTGTTTCAAGACCAATATGATGATGAACAAAAATGAGCTGCATGATTGAGTTGCCAGAAAGAAGCCTTTACTGTACCAATGCCACAAAAAAAGATCTGTTACAATATGCCCGACATCTCAACATGCCTCACAGTTTTGGCACACAGTAATCTGGAGTGATCAGACCAAAATAGAACTTTATGGTCACAACAATACACGCTATATTTGGAGAGGGGTCAACAAGAGTACCAGCCCCACTGTGAAGCATGTTGGGGGGGGGGGGGGTGAGCTCTAAAGGCACTGGAAATCTTGTGAAAACTGATGGCAAGATGAATGCATCATATCATAAGAATATTCTGGCAGAAGATTTGCATTCTTCTGCACAAAAGCTGCGCATGGGACACTCATGGACTTTACAGCACGACAATGACCCTAAGCACAAGGCTAAGTTGATGCCTTGATTGGAGTCCACCTGTGGTAAATTAAATTTCTTTGGAAAGGCACAACCTTTCTATAAAAGGCCCAACAACTAACAATGCATACTGTATCAGAGCACAAACCATTAGGTCAAAAGGATCTGCTTGCAGGGCTCGGACACAGAATCAGGGGTGTGGAAATTTTTTAAAAAATTACTTGTCCGGGGACTAAATCTGTGTCCCAATTTACTTGTTCCTCATGACAATCAACTTGTCCAGATAAAAATAAATTTGATCCAAAACCGTATTTAAATCAGGTGATTTTAGGACCGTTTTAAAAACAAAAAGGGTTTAATGGCAACTTAAATGTGTAACGTTTTTAACATTGTGCTGTTTATCTCCTCCTCCCCTGCCTGTCTCCAGCACCACAACCGTGGACTAGCAGGGAGGAGAGAGACCTTGCAAATGTAATGAGCACCGATTGACTGCTCCTCAGGAAAAGGGGGGTGTCGAGCTTATCCTTTATCCCTTTCGCTGCCAGAGCCGTTTGTGTTTTTTTGTACAAGTTTAAAAAAATAATTTTAGGCCTGAAGATTACATACAACCTCCAAACATTATATATTTTCTGATACCAGAGACCCTAGAGAATAAAAGTGGTAGCTCCAATTTTTTATTTGTCGCTTGATATTACCTTAAAATTTCAGTAACAATACAAGTTAATTTTAGGGCACAAAAAAAAAAAAAAAAAAAAGCAATAAATTACCCTATTTTTTTGTAAAATATAAAAGATGAGATTGCATCGAGTAAACAGATATCCAACATGACAAATGTTATAAATTGAGTTGCAGTTTGGTGAGTAAAATACGTATTTGATCCCCTACCAACCAACAATAATTCTGGCTCCCACAGACTGGCTATGTGCTCATGTGGTACACAGATTAGTCCTGTCAATTTAAGAAGGTACTCCTAAGGACAACTTGGTATGTACAGTGAGGAACAGAAGTATTTGAACACCCTGCGATTTTGCAAGTTCTCCCACTTAGAATCATGGAGAGGTCTGAAATTCACATTGTAGGTGCATTCCCACTGAGAGACAGAATTTAAAAAAAAATTCAGGAAATCACATTGTATGATTTTTAAAGAATTTATTTGTCTTGCACTGCTGAACATAAGTATTTGAAAACCTGAGAAAATCAGTGTTAATATTTGGTACAGAAGCCTTTGTTTGCAATTACAGAGGTCAAACGTTTCCTGTAGTTCTTGACCAGGTTTGCACACACTGCAACAGGGATTTTGGCCCACTCCTCCACACACATCTCCTCTAGATCTGTCAGGTTTTAGGGCTGTCGCTGAGCAACACAGAGTTTCCCTCCAAAGATGTTCTATTGGATTTAGGTCTGGAGACTGGCTAGGCCACTCCAGAACCTTGATATGCTTCTTACGGAGCCACTCCTTGGTTATCCTGGCTGTGTGCTTCGGGTCGTTGTCATGTTGGAAGACCCAGCCACGACCCATCTTCAATGCTCTGACTGAGGGAAGGAGGTTGTTGCTCAAAATCTCATAAATGGCCCCATTCATCCTCTCAATACAGTGCAGTCGCCTGTCCCCTTCGCAGAAAAGCACCCCCAAAGTATGATGTTACCACCCCCATGCTTCACAGTAGGGATGGTGTTCTTGGGATGCAACTCATCCTTTTTCCTCCAAACACGACCAGTGAAGTTTAGACCAAAATGTTCTACTTTGGTCTCATCTGACCACATGACTTTCTCCCATGCCTCCTCTGGATCATCCAGATGGTCACTGGCAAACTTCAGACGGGCCTGGACATGTGATGACTTGAGCAGGGGAACCTTCCGTGCAATGCATGATTTAAAACCATGACGGCGTAGTGTTCTACCGACAGTGACCTTTGAAACTGTGGTCCCAGCTCTCTTCATGTCATTGACCAGCACCTCCCTTGTAGTTCTGGGCTGATCCCTCACTTTTCTTATCAGTGATACCCCACGAGGTGAGATCTTGCATGGAGCCCCAGTCTGAGGGAGACTGACAGTCGCCTTTAGCCATTTTCTAACAATTGCTCCAACAGTTGATCTACTTTCACCAAGCTGCTTGGCAATTGCCCCGTAGCCCTTTCCAGCCTTGTGGAGGTCCACAATTTTGTTTCTGGTGTCTTTTGACAGCTCTTTAGTCTTGCCCATGGTAGTAGTTGGCGTCTGACTGACTGTGGGGTGGACAGGTGTCTTTAAAGAGCTCAGACAGGTGCTACTAAGTTAGATTAATGAGTGGAGTAGAGGTGGACTTTTTAAAAGTCACAGTAACAGGTCTTTGAGAGCCAGAATTCTTGCTGTTTCTTAGGTGTTCAAATACTTATGTTCAGCAGAGCACGACAAATACATTCTTTAAAAATCATACAATGTGATTTCCTGAATTTTTTTTAAATTCTGTCTCAGAGTGGGAATGCACCTACAATGTGAATTTCAGACCCCTCCATGATTTCTAAGTGGGAGAACTTGCAAAATCGCAGGGTGTTCAAATACTTCTGTTCCTCACTGTATATCCTCAATGAAAACTTGTTCCACAGCGCTCATGACCTCAGACTGGGCTGAAGGTTCACTTTGCAACATGACAATGATCCTAAGCACACAGCCAAGACAACACAGAAGTAGCTTAGGGACAGGGAGTAGCTTTTGTAAATGAGATAAGACTAAGGGTAGCATCAGGGACTACAAACAACCTTACAGGCTGTCAATTACGTGTCCACATTGGGGTCCAGGAAAGAAAAAGGGATGCTACACACCTTTTGCCCCTCTGATTCCTTCCACGGCCACGTTCTGTATGTCCTCCCCGACCACGTCCTTTCTGTACACTTCTACGACCACCTGGTCGGCTTTCACTTCCAGATAATGAGCTGCTGTCAGAGTCTGAGTGAGACTCGCTAGAGAAAAAAAAACAAAAAAAACAAAAACAAATTACAAATAACATTTTTGCCATCACTAAGGAATCCAACCCACATCCACATAGCAAACCACCAACTTTAGAGCCTTTCCTGACCACAACTTCAACAAGCAAGAAATAAAATGCAAGTACATGCTGTGCATCACAAGCCAGATGAGGTGTAGTATTAAAATAAGCAGTAGTTCTTAGAACATCTTAAAGGTTTTCTAAGACTATTGCTTCGTGTGCCACTGTCAAGCTCCCTGGTCTCCGAATGTGCTTCATTTTACCCCTTATAAATCAAAAGCGACAGAGAAATTACAGAGCACAGCGTTTATTAGGTAAGTAACAAAATACCTTCTGCAATGTCGTCTGAGAGGAGAGTGAGAGGAAGATCTTGATCTGGACCGAGAACCTGTGCTTGAAGAGGAACTGGATTCTTTCATGAAAACATTACGGTTACCAAACCGCGTAGGGAAGCTGCTACCACGACCTTTTAGTGCACAGGTGCCACTGTTTCCGCCACCCCGTGATGACTGGGTCACAGTGATAGTGCTGCCGCGGGAAGACTGAAGAGTAGTTGGCTCCCAACGCTTCTTCTTTTGACTCTCTTTTTATACTATCCTTCCTAAAAATAGTAAATACATTTACAGCAAAGAGTAATACAGATGGCAAAAGCACCTGATTCAAGCTACCATAAAAGTAATAACTAGCAACAAGCATTGAGTCTGCCAAGTCCAGAAAGGACTTGAGAACTAGGAGATACCTCAACGTTTGCACTGCTAGACCACCATGACCACTACAGACTGCTTAGCTGTTTGCGCAATTATTTGAGCAGTCTGTTAACAGAGGCTCCAAGCACGCTCTGGCACCATCCCCTGCAGAGTCTGCCTCTGACCCTCATCAGCCTGTGAATAATTCCAGGCCTGCAGTCCCTGTTATCTTTAATTCAGATCCTGAAAACTTTCTGGAGAGGCTGAATTTGGGTCAAAGCAGTGCGCACCACCTTGCATCTGGAGAATCAGCCTACTGTTCAAGGCCTTGGCCCTTTTACAGCTTATGCAACTGCAAAGATCTTTCCACTACACCCACTTTTTGAGGCATTCCACTTTGCAAACTGGAAACCGGCAGAAGGGTCTTCGGCCCTACATAGGAGTGTGCCAGAACACTTCCTCTGAGCACAGAGCAGCCCCGATCCTTCTCTTCATGGGTCTCCTGCTGGCGTTCCTGGCTTCTCCCCCTTGACCACTGCCTCCAATAGTAAGCCCCTTGCTATGTGGGCACTGTTGCTGCTTGCTCCCCAGCTCCGCTCTATATGTGCATAAAACACAGAACCGTGACTCGACCCCCCCCCCCCCCCGCTCTCTCCACATTGGTTTACTGGGTATAACTGACAGCAGCTGTATCTCAGCCTGAGAGAGAGAGAGACGGCACAGCTGAGGCTCCCATACATATGGCTGGATCAAGATGGGGCTCAGGTAAGTATAAGGTGTGGATGTGGGAAGAGCAGAACATTCGATGCGTGAAGGTTAAAAAAAAAAAAAAAAAACAAAAAAACACACAACAACCCTTCAGCCCTTATAAACACTCTAATTTTTAAAGTTTTTTTTTTCTACATTTTCTTTTACAATGCTATTGGGAGGGTGTGAGTGAAATATCCATGGTCTAAAAAGATGCGACAGAAATTGACACAAATTCTTCAATTCCTCTCTGCAGCCTCAGCACCACTGGAGACGAACAGAAAACAGAGACTTCTGTAAACACAGTTGAGGAGGTAGTAAAAAAAAAAAAAAAAAAAAAAAAAAAAAAAAAAAAAAAGGGAAGGAAGGAAGGAAGGATGTCCTGCAAATAAGCATCCTTGATGTCAATCAATGCTAGAAGTTCCCCTTCATTGTAGCAATGCAATACGACCAGGCCAATTCCTTTTGGAAGGTGAAAACTTTGAAGCCTAGTATGGGGTGAATGGAAAGCCAGCACTGAGCTTTAGAGCAACAGGTTTGAATAACTGCTCTGAAACTGAAGAGTGAAACTGTTCTAAGAAGGTCTGACAATCTCAACAGATAGGCAGGTGTGAGGGTATAGAGCAGAGAAGCAGTAGGGAGCGAAACACTTAAACACCACATCCCAGAAACATAGATCTGATATGCCTTGAGTCCAGGCATAGGTATGAGAAAAGTTCATCACACCAGGGTACAGGCACCTTCCAGGGAGAAAACCAGTACTTGAAAACTTCCTGCTAAGGGAGGGCATGCCCTCTCCTTCATTGTGAAGGTCTTCAAGAACTTGAATTGCAGAGATTCAGATTGTCACTGCCCCAGCCCTGTAGAACATTATGCAACTAACTGCATCATGTTCTACTGCTATGCCAAGGGTCAGCACTACACGCAACATTACAGGCCGAACACACATTTCTATGCAGCAGGGTTCAGGTAAGGCTCTGCCAAGAGGTGACCGATCACAAATCTGTAATCATGTTGCCTAAGTGGTGAAGGTGCACTCCATGTGAAAATCCAATTGACATCTTCAATCTGTCAGTAAATTAGGAAACCTGTTCTCAGAGAGAGGCTGTCCATCACCTAAGGACACCAGCAAAAACTGAGTATTGTTGGGCGTTAGAGGGGTTATAATTGCTGCCCTAACAGTTTGTTTGCCAGCATCCTCACTTGTAGGTGCAGCATATAACAATGGTCAACGTTTAAAGAGCCTGTATCCTGTGTTGTATGCTTAAGAAATCCTATTTTAAGTTTGGCCTATTTCTTTGCAGAAGGAAAAGCATAACGGAATGAAAATTTTGGTCTGCAAAGTATCTAACCACTTGCCCTCCAGAGGATTTAACCCCCTTACTGACCAGGACAGTTTTCTCGATACAGCGCTGCGTTACTTTAACTGACAATAGCGCGGTCATGCAACACTGCACCCATACATAGTTAAATAGTCTGGCTGAAAAAAGTCCATCTAGTTCAACCATTAAAAAAAAAAAAAAAAAAAAGTTATAATCCTATACCCACAGTTTTTTTTTGAACCAAAAAAAAAGACTGGCAATTTTGAGGAAAAAATATTTTTGACTGTTTGCTATAAAACATGTCCAGTAAAAAAATATAAAAAAATTAAAAAAATCAAATTTAGTCACAAATTTAGGGCAAAATGTATTCTGCTACGTGTTTGCTAAAAAAAAAAAATAATCCCAATATGTGTAAATTAATTGGTTTACGTGAAAGTTTTAGCATCTACAAATGGTGGTATATATACACACACTGGAATATTTTTTTTAATACTAGTAACAGTGGTGATCAGCAACTTATTGCGGGACTGCGGTGGGCATACCGATACTGGGGAGAACTGACTGTCAGTTACATCCCCAGGGACACTAATACAGTGATCAGTAATACATTTTTAAATAAAAAGCACTGCCACTGTACTGATGACACTGGGACGGTAAGGGTTAACATCTATTAGTTACATAGTTAGTCTGGCTGGAAAAAAAAAAAAAAAAAAAAAAAAACACAAACGTCCATCCAGTTCAACCATTTCAGAAAAAAAAAAAAAAAAAAAGTTATAATCCTACACCCACAGTTGATCCAGGAGGAAGGCAAAAAAACCCAGCAAAGCATGACTCAATTTGCTCCTGCAGGGAAAAAAAAAATTCCTTCCTGATTCCTCGAGAGGCAATCGGATATTCCCTGGATCAATTTTAACTATAAATGTTAGTATCCAGTTATATTCTGTGTATCCAAGGAAGAATCCAGACCTTTTTTAAACAATCCACTGAGCTGGACAGAACCAACTCTTGAGGGAGTCTATTCCACATTTTCACAGCTCTCACTGTGAAGAAACCTTTCCGGTTTCTTGGGCAATCAAAGTGTTAACTGTGTTCGTGTCTCACTGTGTCAGCACATTGTTTTGTATTTATATAGCTGACAGGGGAGAGATCTGTATTGTTTACATACAGGTCTCTCCCCCCGTCAGTGATACTCGGTGATCGCCAGGTGCCGGTGGGGAATCACGGGCCGGGACCCGGTGACTGACAACTGAAGCCACCAATGGCGACGCAGGTAGTGCACGCACGCATACCCCCTTCCCGGAAATGCAAAATCATGTACACACACGTGATTTTGCGCAGCCCTGCAGCAGTATTTCTTCTGCTATAGGGCATTGGGAATGTGGTTACACATAACAAACCTTCAAAATTTGGTCTGATCATGAAGGTAAAATGTGCGACAGTATTGGCTGAAACAAAAACAAGGGTACATACCCTGGCAAAGGTTCTCTACTCCAGTCTATAGTAAATGCGGAACCATCTTGCAATCTGGCTTGTAGAACTTCTTTAAGGAGTTTCTCAGTCCGATCCTTGTCTTCCTCTGTTTCACATGCAGTAAAGCAACGCTGAACGTATTCTTTCATTGCTGGTGGCCAGTCCTCTGGTTTTGCAGAAGAATTACTGCTGCAATCAAAATTACACAGGAATTAAAGTGCATCTAGGAAGAAAGCATGCACCACAAATAATCAGGAATATTTAAAAAAGTACACTATTAACTATTTGGCTACCAGTGATCTTGGCTCTTCTCCGTTTGCTGCAACATATGGTGATGCATACGTGTTGACTGTTGAACGCTATTGTTTGTATGTTGCTCAGATGTAAAGTTCTGACTGGTCATTACTAAAGGACGCTTTTGAATATTAAATTTAAGACCTCCAGCTCCAGGAGCTTCTGCAGGAAGAGAAAGGTAAAAATGAATGCAAGAGAGACATTTTACAAGTTTATTTTTTAAGCTTTATATAATCTATATACAATCTTGTATAAATGTTTTATACATAAAAAAGGGCTCCCCGAGTACAGTTAACTAAAGAGACCGCAGAGAAGAGCAGTTTGCTCTTGTTTGATATATGAGGGCTACTAATTAATCACTGCACGAATGAGATATTCACGTTCATAAACTGTAATGTAAATCTAAAACTATCAACTTACGTTTCATGCGGTTCCACAAATGTTGTCCTTTCTTTTGTTTGGTAGAGTCATAGTTATGCTGCTGAGAGTAATTACTTGTGGCTGAATGTTGTTGTGATAGATGGCTGCCTGAAGATGCTCCTTGAGGACCAGATTGTGACAAACTATGACTTACAGTTTGAGGGGAAGATGGCTGGTTACTAGGGGTAGAAACTTGCGACTGGACAGTAGAATAAGGCATGCTGTCTTCAAGGCCGGGAACAGGAGGCTAAAATCAAATAATTGATAGCATTTCATCACTTTCAGGAATATTACTTCTCTTCATATTCTGGACAGGGTGAGGATTGCATCTTGTTTGCTTTATGCAGCCACCAATTACCTTGCATGCTATAAGTTCTAATAAAACTTCAGTCGATCCTGAATACGGCTGCCAGACTCATTCACCTTTCCAACCGTTCCGTCTCCGCCACCCCCCTCTGCCAATCCCTCCACTGGCTTCCGATTGCGCAACGGATCAAATTCAAAATCCTAACGCTGACATACAAAGCTGTCCACCATATTGCCCCGAACTACATCACTGACCTAATATCCAAGTACCACCCAGCACGCACACTCCGCTCCTCACAAGACCTCCTTCTCTCTAGTTCCCTGGTCTCCTCCTCCCATGCCCACCTCCAGGACTTCTCCAGGGTGTCACTCATCCTCTGGAACTCCCTGCCCCAACCCATCAGATTATCACCTACTCTCCTCTCCTTTAGGCGCACCCTGAAAACCCATCTCTTCAGGGAAGTCTACCCCCACCCCCTGTTAACTTGCCGACCTCCTCCACTCTTCCTACCACTCCATCCCCCACAGCTATCTCCTCCTGTGCCACCACCCCCCTCCCTCCTAGATTGTAAGCTCGAAAGAGCAGGGCCCTCAATCCCCTCATGTTTTGCATTGTATTGGTATTGTTCTGTCACATGTTCTGTCCCCCTTTGTAATGTACAGCGCTGAGTGAACTATTGGCGCTTTATAAATACTGTATAATAATAATAATAATTAAAAAGTAAAAAAAAAAAAAAAAAAGAAAAAACAAAACAAAAAAAAAAAAAAACACTGTCCTTACAATATCTGGAAAAGAAATAAAAACCCTACCTGTGTTAGGTTTCCCTGGTGCTGCCCAGCTGACTGGGTCTGTTGAGATGCTTGTGATTGGTAAGTGCCTGACATCCCGTACTGACCAGGAGAAGTATATCCACCATACAAACTCTATAAAATATGACAATAAAAAAGAACATATTACTAATCTGCTAATCTAACACTGCTGTGTTTAACCACTTAACCCCTCAGCCAAATCTATAAAAATCTGAGAAGACTAAAGATAAAAAGGTACAACTTATGTAGGAGGATTTGTTTAATCTCTGTGCATCAACTCGGGCCAGTCATTTCACTGGGTATAAGTAAGGGCTTACAACCACTTTAAATGCATATTTCACATCTATGCATGGCAATATCATGAAATTATAGGGCACGGACATATATTTTGAAGGGCAGCCCAACATATTTTGCCAGTGCACCACAACACATAGATTTGAATCAGCTACACATCGTGCTACCCTAGTCAGGAAAACATTGCATTAAACCTGCATTGTCAAGCACTGACAATCTTTTCACAATGAACAGGCTGTCTTACCACAATATATGACACACATGTAAGTAGTAAAGTAGAAAAAAAAACAACAAAACAAAAGAGTGTGAATCAACTGTAAAGCTGGCCAAAGGCAACATGCATACAACCTATGAAAGACATCATGTTTAATTTACTAAGAATTATAAATATACATACCATAGGATAATAATAGTTGTAAGCATACTGGTAGTTATACTGAGAGTACCACTGGTAATACTGTTGCTGCATTGTTGCATCCCCCTGTGGTGCAGAATACTATATTAAAAAAAATATAAGCAAACAAGAAAACAGACAGAACACTTTAGCTTTTTTAGATACACTACAAGAAGATTTGACAGTACACCGGTATTGAGAGAAGTTTAAAGTTTAGGAAATGCCATTGCTGGCTTCCTGCAATTGCCAAATGCCTGGCCTCAAAGAGCATTCATTTTATGTGTCTCAAAAAAAGGCTAGAAAATTCAACCTTTACACTTGTTCACAGATAGTAACTCAAAATTGTTGAGCAGGTATACTTTAGATAATCTAGGGTGAATACAACAGATTAATATTTCTACAAAAACAAGGGCTTGATTTTTGTTTTTTGTGAAAGTTGAATTTTACAAAACCCACTTCTATTGTTTAGTCTGTTACTTTGGTCAAATTGTTCCCAAATACTTTATTTCAGTTTTCTTGCACAAAGCTGAAAGTCAAATTAAAGGATGCCCTGCAATAATAGATTCTTTTTCCCCAAGGTGCTGTCTAAAGACCATAGATCAGGGGTGTCCAACCTTTTCACTTTTCTGGACCACATCAGAAGAGAATGGTCTTAGACCACACATAATATACACCAACTATAAAAATAGCTGGTGAGCAGAAAAAGTCAGGCAGCTCAAAAGTTGATGATCACCGATATTATGTACCAATACAATAAAACATCATTTTATTGTAATTTTTTATTTTTTTATTAATTATAAAGAAGAGGGCACCATAAAAACTATTATGATATATGACACTGTTTTTGATAAACTAACGCATCAGTATCTGTTTCAATGGATGTAATAGAAATTCTCACTGAATTCTCAAGGTGCTCATCGGATACTTTGGTTCTAATTTTGCCCTTCCTGTGCTTCATCCTTGAAAATAGGTGCTTGTAAATATAGGTGCTCCCAACGACAGATAAATAAGGTGTGATTGTGAAGAGTGGGAGATTTTTCTTTGGGAAAATAAAACTCAGAAGTCCAGTAAAGAGACACTGTCAAATTTACCTTCAGCCACATGTATTTATTAAGTGCAAACATAAGCATTGTATAAAAGTATACAATTTTGTGGTGGGCCACATTCATAGCTGTCTTGGGCCACGAGTTGGACACACCCGTGCCTTACATGGTTAACTGGATACAGATGATGCTACTCTTCTTATCAGCCCACTGAAATGGTTTGCGTGTTAATAATGAAAGCAGGTCTTTCCAGTCAGTTGAAAAAAGGAATTGCTAATGCAAACAATATCTGCGGAAGAGTTATCCATTTGAAATGTTTGAGTAATTTTTAATTTACATGACGGATTTGTAATGAACATTTTTAAGCAATACTGAAAGAGGTTGTAAAGCTCAAGGTTTTATTTTACCTTCATGCATTCTATGCGCAGAAGTGCCCCAGGCCCTGTCAATACTTACCTGAGTCCGATCGCGATCCAGCGATGTGCACGATAGAGTCTCTGTCTCATTGGCTGAGACAGCAAGCTGGAGCCATTGGCTCCCACTGCTGTCAATCACAGCCAGTCAGCCAATGAGAGAAGGGGTGGGGCCAAGGCACAGCTCCGTGTGTGAATGGACAAACGGAGGAGTGGCTCAGAAACAGGCCTGCTCAGCTGCCCCCATAGCAAGCTGCTTGCTATGAGGGCACCCAACAGAAAGGAGGGCACACAGCTGATCACATGAAGAGGTAAAAGGCCAAAGAGAGCAGCCTTTTACCATGTGATCAACTGTACCCAATGACACAGCAGATCAGAAAGAAAATACGGTTGCCGTTTATCGGCAGAACTTTCCTCACGCTGTCAGAGTGAGGAAAGTACTGCTGATAACCGGCAAATGTCACAGAGCAGATCACACTGATAATCAGGGCATTGCCCACCATTAGTGCCACCCAGTGTTGCCCATCATTGCTGCATATCAGTGCCCATGAGTGCTGCCTATAAGTGCAGCCTCATCAACGCACACCAGTGAAGTAGAAAAATTCCCTGTTTGCAAAATTTTATAATAGAAACAAGGAAAAACTTTTTTTTTTAATTTTGTGTTATTTTTGTTTATAGTGCAAAAAAAAAAAAAAAAAAAACCCCAGTGGCGATTAACTACCACCAAAAAAAAGCTCTATTTGTGTGAAAAAAATAATTTCACATGGGTGCAATGTTGCATGACCACGCAATTGTCATTTAAAATGCAACAGCACTGAAAGCTGAAAATTGGCCTGGACAAGAAGGGGGTAAAAGTGACCGCTAGGCAAGTGATTAATATACATTTTTCCAGTTAGATCTAACAATTCCCCAAGAATCCAACTTCCATACAACTGCTACATTCTCTTCCCAAACCATTGTTTATATGTATGGCTTGATATTTGCTTTACCTGAGCATTTGACTGCCCATCACTTGATCCTTTATTTGCTGCAGAGGCAGAACTGGCTTTGCTAATGCTTGCTAAAGCCTGCCTTGCTTTCTCCCACTCGGGATTCTCATGCATTGGTGATTCCAAAGCACCATCTCTGCTGGCACCATACTGCTGAACCCTGTGAGGAAAACATAAATAGGTTTAAAAAATACAACATAAGTTTCACAACTAAGAGATGCTATACAAAGCAGGGTCTGTCAAATTCTAAAAAGCCAAGTAAGCAATGTGTCCAAAATATCAGTTATTTAGCCCCTTCAAGGGCTGCACTTCCCAGTAGCTTTTAAAAACTTGAATGGAAAGACAAAACCACTGAAGAGTATGACCCTGTTCTAAAGCCTAATCTTATGTCCACATGCAGCGTTAAGAGTCCCTGAAAGCAGGAAGGGGGAAATACCCTGAGGTCTCACAGTTAGTTGCTACCCTGCTGACTACCTGACCTGATACAAAAAAAAAAAACAAAAAACAAAAAAAAACAAAAACACACAAAAGTTGTCTTCTACACAAGCACAACACATAACATTCCCAAAGTAAATTTACTAGCTAGACAAAAGACAAAAACCTAATTCAATTATTAGCATGAAAAACACATACATTTTAAAACATTTGGGAAGCCCTGCTGCAATATCAAGGCTCCTCTGCAACGTGTGGCCTCCGATTCTAGTCAAGTAGAGCACTCGCCCTGTTTATGACAAACTGTTGGAACAGTATAGTTAGTCTGTTTTCTTGCTTGCTAGTTGGTAATTTTCCGTATCATGTTTTGTAGACAGTATTGCCCATTCACACTTCACTTAAAGTGTTGCTAAACCCACAACAGTAAAATCAGTCTGTTTATGCAGTAAAGCATGCTTGTTATATGCACTGTGGAACCTAAGGGGTTAATCCTCCACATCCTTTTAGACTGTTAGCTCCATGAGCAAGGTCCTCAAATTCCTTCTGTATCAAACTGTATTGTAATTGTACTACCACCCTTATATTGTAAAGCGCTGTGTAAATCGTTGCCGCTATATAAATCCTGTATAAAAATAAAAGCCACGTAAATGGCCACAATGATAAAGCCATGTTGTTGAGCCATGTTTTTACTATCCCCAACTGCTCCCCCTTTAGCTGCAGAGTTCAGACACATGCTGTGTCCACAACAGAAAGTGTACCTCCAGGAGAATGGGGACACGCTGCAACCGCATGCATTGTATGTTGCTGCAGTATGGTGAAGCTGCATTAAAGGGATTATAGAACAGGCGCTGAGGAAGAGACATAACCCCGCCTGTCAAATGCCGGTGAAACACGATCCGATCATGGATCGCTTTTCAGAGGAGCAGCAGTTCTTGCTGTTATTGTGAACAAGCCCTATAAAAACCAGTTTCGATTGTACAGGATTACAACCTCTGTAGGGTCCAGGTATCGTCTTATGCTACCAGTAGTGACACTGGCCCTAGCCAAATGCAAAACTAATGAAAAACAGTCAGAAAAGAGTAGGGAAAAAAAATGTCAGTGGCCTCCATATGTAAAACCATTCCGGTTTTGGGGGTCATTGTTGCCTATCTAGTGCACCTGTTAATTTCATTAACACCAAAGCAGATGAAACTGATTAACAACCCCCTCTGCTACTAAACTGACCAGAATAATATCCCAGGAGTTTAATTGACTTGATGATATACTCTGATTAAAAAGTGTTCCTTTCATTTTATTTTTTTGAGCAGTGTATTACCTTATGTACAGTTTTGGTTTGTCTTTGGTATATTAACTTTAAAGAGCACCTGTCTTTTTTCAATTGAGTACTTTCATGGTACAGTGCAAAGGTTTTGTGTACAGATTATATATCTTATATCAAGATATTACATTTGCAGCTTTCCCTTGGGTTGTGCTGATCCGCAGTCTATAACCAGTTTTTTTATTAAGCAAAATAAAAACTGCATTAATTTGTTGTACAAAGACTAAAGAATGCATAAGATGAGGAAAAAGCCATTAAAAATTACAATACATACCAATCAGGATTCAGCTGTTCTCCAAGATTAGTAGCCATTACTAGATTTAAGATCACACCACTTAGGGGAGTCCTATTAAAACAGAAAACACAAGGATTAAAAAAAAAAACAAAAACAAAAAAAAAAAAACACAGAGAGCTAAGCCCTAGTTCACATGGAATATGACTTTGAAATCGTGCTTCACTTGAAACCAAGCCACACGATTTGAAAGTCGCATGTCAGTGCAACTTGTAAGACTTCTGTGCGACTTCATGCACAGATATCAATGCATGTCACACCAGAAATCGGCAAAAGTAATACGACTCCGACTTCCATTAGAAATATTCCATTGCTGATAATAGGGTGCAACTTGTCACAGGGATGTGCAACTTACATCACCCAAAGCCGGCCAGGTAGTTTTTTTTTTTTTTTTTTTTAAACATTTAGCTACCTGTCAGGTGGAAGCATTCGGGTGGCTTCCAAACACTGCGCCAAAGAGACAGTCTCCGGCCACCCAGTGTACACTCCTGCATTTGTCGCCATTTTACGAGCACATGCAAATATAAGGTTTCATGTGTTTGGTATCCATTTACTTTGTACAACCTCATCTTTTATATTTCACTTTTCTGTGATTTTATAACCTTGTGGATGGATTAATAAAACTATTTTACTGCAGCTCTCTGGTGTGCCAATCAATCTGTATGGACTTAAAGCGGAGTTCCACTCACCCTGTCAAAAAATAAAAGTCAGCAGCTACAAAAACGTTATAGCGTCTACGTATGGTGGTATATATACTGGGATTTTTCTTTTTTTTACTAGTAATGGCAGCGATCAGCAGGACTGCGGAGGGCATTCTGACACTGGGGGGAACTGACTTGGATTCACTGCCATCCCCATTGACACCAATACACTGATCAGTGCTAATAAAAAGCACTGACACTGTACTAATGGCACTGGGAAGGAAAGGGTTAACTTGGGGGGCGGTCAAAGGGTTAACTGTGTGCTGTTTTACTAAGTGTGCAGGAGCTGACAGGGGAGAACTGTTTTGTTTACAAACAGTTCCTTCCTCCCCCCCCCCCCCCTCAGAGATGCTCGGCAATCACCGGGCGCCGGTAATTAATCACTGGCTGGGACTTGGTGATTGACAGTCACAAATCAGGGCGAGCGCGCACCCGCTACCCAAAGATGCAAAATCACGTATATATGTGATTTTGTACACCCATGCTACCCTGTAGTAGTATATATAATGCCGCCCTGTAGCAGTATATCTGCTATAGGGTGGCAAGAATGCAGTTAAAGAAGAAGTGAAGTGCAGGAAAACAAACATACATACTTAACTATATAGCTGCAGTTGTCCCCTGCTGGCTCTAAGATTGAGAACTGAGAGATTCCATGACAGTTCAGTTCTTAGTCATCGCTGAGCAGAGTGGTGAATGTCAACCACTGGATTTCTGCTCTACACTTCCAGAGCTTGCTGGAGCACTGGGCAGTGGAGGGGGTGGTAGCGGTTGGCTCAGGCTCTCAGCGGCATGTTGAGAGGCTAAGGCAGCTGCCAGGTCAGGAATCTGGGCAGATACCAACCTTAAAGTCAGGATTTTTGAAGAGTTAGGACTGGCTCTGACATCAGCCAACAAAGGGCTTTAGCCCGCTGGTAGCTGAATCTGGGTCACAGGAGTACAGAAATAAGTGCACTCCTGTGCCCTAGAAGAGAAGTATGGACAAACAAACTTTACATATCTCACATATCATCAAGTCAAACATTGTTGCTGGTAACATTTAAATAACAGTGTTGATTCATATTTGTGCGTGTGTGCATGTCACAGTTAGAGGAGCCCATTCATTTCAATGCGCTGCCTCACCCGCCAGAAACGCGATGGAATTAGCCCCCAGCCCTTTTCTGAATTCATACTTCACTGAATCGAGAAAAAACACGGGGAAAGAATTGCCCAACCCTGGTTTGAAGGGACCACAGCTGCCGAAGCATTGGGGTGACTGCTAAAGCTCAGCCCATTACCCTGTATGTCAGGGAAGAATGCAATTTAGCATGCGTTCCAACACGTAATATATGTGAACCTGTCCTTACTTAACCACTTGCCTACTGGGAACTTTTACCCCCTTCCTGTCCAGGACAATTTTCAGCTTTCAGCGCGGTCACACTTTGAATGACAATTGCGTGGTCATGCAACACTGTACCCAAACAAAATTTTTATCATTTTTTTCAGACAGATAGAGCTTTCTTTTGGAGGTATTTAACCACTTCCCGACTGCCCCATAGCAGAAATACTGCTACAGGGCGGCACGGTGCGCACAATCACGTATATATACGTGATTTTGCATTTCTGGGTAGGGGGCGCGAGCCCTACCTGCTCCGCAGCTGTCAACCACCAGTTCCCAGCTGATAATTACCCACTGGCACCTGGTGATTACCAAGCATCTCCGATGGGGAGGAAGACTGTTTTGTTTACTGGGGATGTCAGTGACACCAAGGTAGTTCCCCCCAGTGTCAGAATGTACGCCGCAGTCACGCGAAAAGTCGCTGATCACCGCCATTACTAGTAAAAAATAAATAAATAAAAATCCTAGTATCTACACCGCCATTTGTAAATGCTATAACTTTCACGTAAACCAAACACGTATTGGAATTTTATTTTAGCAAAGACATGTCGCAGAACACATTTTGGCCTAAATTTATGAAGAAATTTACTGATAGGCAGCACTGACGGGGCTACAAGGAATCAAGGCACCGATGTCTTCAGTGTAGATGTCCTCTCTGAGGAATGCCACTTACTGGCTATCTCCTCACAAGCTGTTAGCAGGAGCAGAGGACTGCTGATAACAGGCATTTCCTATTTACATGTGATCAGCTGTGATTGGACACGGCTGATCACATGACAGAGTCTGTGTCATCGGCTCTTTACTGCGATCGGTGATCCGCTGTGTCCAAGAGAGACAGTGCACCACAGATCGGCATGCAGCTAGAGTGGGAGGACTTCACATGACATCCTCTTAGAACGAGAGAGCAACTGCCTACCTGTCATTTCCTTATATGGAGGGTGGGAGGCGGTTAAAGTCAATAAATAGGACTTAAAGGATAGGTTCACCCTCTGTAAACACGTTACTACTGCAGCAACTACAGCACCCCCCTCCCCTCCTTCCCCCGTTGACAGCAGGCAGGGGATCCTTTCCCCACACCCACTGTCACAATTTTATATTAAAAAAATTAAAAAGTGGCCAAGCGGGGCTCCACCCACCTGGTTGTGTCATTCAGACTTCTATGCACAGGAGAACTACAAGTACCTTTGCTGCTGTCGGCTAGTAGTGCTCAATGAACTACCAGAGAGCTAATGGGCGCACTAGGTAGTTCTTGATACGTCCGGTGTATAGTTTTATAGATATGAATGATATAGTTCCCGGACCCGTGAAGAATATATATAAATATATATAAAAAATATACACGGGACCAGGAAATATATATAAAATATACACAGCACAGGGAACTCATTAATATATAGAGAGATCCCTGTGCTATGTAGATGATATAAATATCTACATATAGTTCCCTGTGCTGTGTCTATATATAGTTCTATAGTTCCCTGTGCTGTGTCTATATATAGATCTAGAGTTCCCTGTGCTGTGTCTATATATAGTTCTATAGTTCCCTGTGCTGTGTCTATATATAGATCTATAGTTCCCTGTGCTGTGTCTATATATAGATCTATAGTTCCCTGTGCTGTGTCTATATATAGATCTATAGTTCCCTGTGCTGTGTCTATATATAGATCTATAGTTCCCTGTGCTGTGTCTATATATATATCAGTGAGGAACAGAAGTATTTGAACACCCTGCGATTTTGCAAGTTCTCCCACTTAGAAATCATGGAGGGGTCTGAAATTCACATTGTAGATGCATTCCCACTCTGAGAGACAGAATTTAAAAAAAAAATTCACCGTCGGTAGAACACTACGCCGTCATGGTTTCAAATCATGCATTGCACGGAAGGTTCCCCTGCTCAAGTCATCACATGTCCAGGCCCGTCTGAAGTTTGCCAATGACCATCTGGATGATCCAGAGGGAGGCATGGGAGAAAGTCATGTGGTCAGATGAGACCATAGTAGAACTTTTTGGTCTAAACTTCACTCGTCGTGTTTGGAGGAAAAAGAAGGATGAGTTGCATCCCAAGGATACCATCCCTACTGTGAAGCATGGGGGTGGTAACATCATGCTTTGGGGGTGCTTTTCTGCGAAGGGGACAGGACAACTGCACTGTATTAAGGAGAGGATGAATGGGGCCATTTATTGTGAGATTTTGAGCAACAACCACCTTCCCTCAGTCAGAGCATTGAAGATGGGTCATGGCTGGGTCTTCCAACATGACAACGACCCGAAGCACACAGCCAGGATAACCAAGGAGTGTGTTGCACTCAGTAGTGCAAGACAAATAAATTCTTTACAAATCATACAATGTGATTTCCTGAATTTGTTTTTAAATTCTGTCTCTCTGAGTGGGAATGCACCTACCATGTGAATTTCAGACCCCTCCATGATTTTTAAGTGGGAGAACTTGCAAAATCGCAGGATGTTCAAATACTTCTGTTCCTCACTGATATATATATATATATATATATATATATATATAGATCTATAGTTCCCTGTGCCGTGTCTCTATATAGTTCTATAGTTCCCTGTGCCGTGTCTAGACTATATATTGAGATCTATAGTTCCCTGTGCCGTGTCTCTATATAGTTCTATAGTTCCCTGTGCCGTGTCTCTATATAGATCTATAGTTCCCTGTGCCGTCTCTATATATAGATCTATAGTTCCCTGTGCCGTGTCTATATATAGTTCCCTGTGACCCGTCTCTATATATAGATCTATAGTTCCCTGTGCCGTCTCTATATAGATCTATAGTTCCCTGTGCCGTCTCTATATATAGATCTATAGTTCCCTGTGCCGTCTCTATATATAGATCTATAGTTCCCTGTGCCGTCTCTATATATAGATCTATAGTTCCCTGTGCCGTCTCTATATATAGATCTATAGTTCCCTGTGCCGTCGTCTCTATATAGATCTATAGTTCCCTGTGTCTCGATCTATAGTTCCCTCTCTATATAGATCTTGTCAGGGATCTCCTCGATCCCCGCCGTGATGGTCCCGCCCTGTGCAGGGACACGGGCACTAGGTCCCTGCCGCGGCGTTCGAGTTCGCGCATGCGCAGATCTAGAAGCCGCGGCCGCCCGCTGGGCACCAATGGCAGCGCAGGGCGGGATATTTAAATGGCCCTGAGCTGTCATTCAGTGCCTTCTGGTCTTCCTGATCTGTATCCTGTGAACCTGTACCCTGTAAGTTATTGACCCGGATTGTGCCCTGACCTTGCTGTTTTCTCCTATTCTGACCCTTGCTTTGCCTGACCTCTCTCCTGAATGCCCCCTATTGGATTTGACCTGCTGTTGCTGACCTGGCGTGTGTGACCCGACCATTCTATGCCCGCTGCCTTGTACCTTGCCGCCCTCTCTGTTACCGACCCGGCCCGTCTGACCTTGCTCTCATCCATCCATCCATCCCGTGCAGTGGGGTCTTCTGACCTCCTCACATCAGACTCTTCCCCGTGGGAGCCCCTTGCGCATACTACTACCACTGACGGACGCACCCAGTAGTCACGACCTGGTCTCAGGGAGCTCCAAGTCCATCCCCACCATCAGGGGCCCTGGTGAACAAGCACCCTGGGGACTTAGACTCCGTGCGCTGGGGACGGCCTATTCAGTGGAGTGCTAGTAGTAAGCTGCGGCGGCCCTTACTGGGCATCTATAGTTCCCTGCGCCGGTCGGGATATATAAATAGTTCCCTGTGCTGTGTCATTCTGCCTATATAGATCTATAGTTCCTGTGCTGTGTCTATATAGATCTAGTGAACCTGTGCTGTAAGTCTATATAGATCTAGAGTTGCCCTGTGCTGTGTCTATATAGATCTATAGTTCCCTTGCTTTGCTGTGTCTATATATAGATCTATAGTTCCCTA